TTATCAATAATTCATAATTTTAGTAGAATGCTTTCGCTCTCAGTGTACTGGCATTCGACTCTTTTGTAAAACAGCATTAAAATAACAAAATAATGGCCAAAGCAATCGGCCAGGAGCCAGTTAGTGTGGAATCGTCATTAATACCAGATTCGCTTTTAGGTTTATCAATCACATGACCAGCTACTGCAAAATGCTAATGTCGGATTGGAACAGTAGGCTTATGGATATCAAATTCTCAGTGGAATGGGACTGTGACTGTACAACTCGATCCACTTGATGTTCCCAATCGCCTGTTGCTGCCCCTTTGTCGAGATATCTTTTGAGCAGTTTCAGCATTTTGCGCTTACACTTTTATCAGCGACACTTTGTTGTTATTCTTGGGCTTTATATATGTATGTACATAACTAAGAATCGTTGGCTGGTTGTCGCCAGTTTGCTAAAAATAGCAGAGTCATGAAATTCTCCGTCTTAATTGCTTTTATTAATAATTATGAATGTGGCTCATTCTCGGCTCGTTAAAGCTCATTTTAGAATGTTTGCCGGCCAATTGTTTTTCTAAATTTTAATTGCAATAATAAATTACTATTGGCGTGTGCCGATGCAGAGGCAAAGGAAAAATCTTTATATACCGGGTTCTAATAAAACGCGGCTACTTGTTAAATTTACAATGCCATTTAGTGCATCGTTAGCTCGGTTAATTAGCACAATTTTTTTTACTTAATGATTGCTTATTTATGAGACATCCAAGGTTAATTTCTTATAGAAAAAAAAATTTGCATACTTTTTACTAACTAGAGATATTAAGCTGGCCTCCAGAAGGTCGTTTACATATAAAATTCATTGTTTTTTTGATTAAATTTTAATCAACTGTCGGTTGGCTTTGAGGGGTTAATCACGAAAAAATGGGTATACCTCAGAAGCTTACCACTACAATGGCAGCTTAACAATAGGATATCAGACCTTATAAGAGTATATTATACTTATTCCAAGCACTATTTTCAATAGTTCCTATAAACGCATTATCGAATTGTGGATTAATTGAGTTCTCAAAGAATAAAAAGCCTAAGCAAAGCACCTAATTGGTAAATATTTATTCGTTTGCCATCAATTCACTCGAAACTCGTAATACAACTGCCAAGAACACCCCCGAAACCCGGTTGTATTCGAAAAACAGGTAATTCAACGCAACTTGCCTGCTCAAATGCTGTTTACCGATTCGACGAGCGTACTTTCGTTTTAATAAAGTTAACAAAAATTGGAGTCAAGATTCCAATTGCAATTGCCCAATATCACAATATCACCGTATCACAGTTCACACGCACAGCTCGAACACGAAAAAAACACTGAGCCAGCGCAGCTGAACCAACTGGCTAACTGCTAACTGTAAACCAGTTCAACTTCAAAACAACAACTAAGCGCTAAGCGGCGTTGCCATTGCCGTTTGCTCTCCGCTCTTCTCCTTTCTTGTGTCGTCCCACTTCTCTTCTCTGCTCTCTGTTTGCCTGGTCAATTTCGTGAGTGGACTCTAGCATTGCGTGCATGTGTGTGGGTGTAGGCTACCGCGATACACAGGTTAACTTAGTTAACTGGAATATCTTAGCCCGTTTTTTATAATTTTCATAAATAACATTTTTAAACCAATAAGTCCACTTAAACCATTTAATTTAATTTCAATATAATATAATAGCAACAGCAAAAAACATATAGTGAGCATGCACATAGTTAAATACCCGATTTCTCATTTAAATCAAGAGCTAAAATTGATTTTTAAACTGTAATATGGCATTTAAGAATTTTATTTTGAGAATTTTATTTTTTTTACGTTTTGTAAAGTAATGTCATTAAAAAATTAAGAATGATCATATTGAAAAGCTCGACTTGAACGCTCTTATTCTTATCAGTCAAAAATTAGATTTAAACTCATCATCCTGATCATCTTGTCAAATACATTTTTCTTTATTTGCGTTTAAATGCTTTAAATCGTACATTCTCATTAAATATTTTTATTAGTGGCCTTGCTGTTGACGAGATCAAAGTAATTTGGAGCTTCACTGTGGTTCGGATGCAATCGTGGTTGTTGGTGTGGTAGTTACTCCTGGCTTACTCACGCGAGTTGTGGGTGAGCCTTAATCACATTTAATAAAACGTCGAAGGGAGAGGTTGAAGAGGGGAGGCAGAGAAAGAGAGAGAGAGCGAGCGGTTGACATTGACAACCCCCCTTTTCTTGGGAACGAGCGCACGCCCATGTATGCGTAAGCTAATATCGCTACGCTTCGAAGTTTCGTTAAATTTTTTCTCTGTTTTGTTTGTTTCTCTCTTTATCGCTTTCCACTTTGACTCTTTTTATTTGTTGTTAATTCGAATACAAAAATAACTTCTACTTTTTATTGTGCTTTTGCGCTCAGTTTTTATGACAATTCAATTTTTTTCACTGCGGGTAATTAAGAACTCGCTCGCACAAATATACGAACAAATTCGATGGTAACCACAAATGGAGGCGATCGAGAAAAAAACAGGCCAGACATATTTTATTAACGCCAATTGTCTATTTCATTCGTTTTCTTCAACCAGTACTAAAACTTTTTCTGGTGGCGCCTCCATTGCGTCACAAAAAAAAAAAAAAAAAAAAAAACAATTATACCCATATGGCACTAACTTATCATTGAACTTATGGCCGGGAATCAAAACGGAAACTGGCTAATAAATTAACTAACACAAAGCATTTTTTTTGTAGGCTTATGAATGTGTATCCCAGTGTAAATTTTCCTAAAGTTTTATTTTAAATTTTTCCTTCGAAAGCTACTTAAAATATATTTTTACTATTTTTTTACGACTTGAAAAAGTTTTTATCTGAAAGTTAGTTAACTAAAAGTCGGAAAAACTACAAAACCGAGTGTCATAAAAGCTTCAGAAGAATAGAAAACGAACATACGGCAAGGCTCATTAATATTCCGATTGCAGTGCAATGCTCCACACCCAATGCCCATAAGACGGTAGAGTTATGTAATTGGAGATCAGGGACTCAAGTGTCGGGGCTTTATATAGCTTATTCTTCAGACGACCACTTGTGCAGCAAATACTATACTTGAGATGTGGAGCTGCTAGATTTCTGGGACCGATCAGATTTTCCATTCATAAACTAGGTCTGATGTGGCTATGGCTAATCAGCAAAAAATTGATTGATCGATTGAAGTTCTATGGGAAATTTATTGCGCGATCCATAAATCATAATCGAATGGAATTTATTGTTTGGTATTTGCAACTACTTGAGCTCAGCTTTTTGGGTTTCCGTTTCAGCGGAAGATTTTTCCAGGCAAAGCTGTAGAATCGCAAAGATCACATGATAGCCCCCACATATGATTGCATAAAACTCGAAAACTCACGACTCTGTAAGAGAGCGCGACTCACATACACTATGTGGAGAGTATTATATGGGCTTGACTAACACTCACACTGCTAGACTTGGTGCGTATCTGAGAGATACTCGCGGGTTTCGGAAAGAGATAGCACTTCGGTAGCCAGGTATCTGGCGCTCTGACTTTAGCTGTGACTTCTGGCAGGTGTTTACACAATGGGTCCCATGACAGGTGAGCCACCCCCCCCCCCACCCCACTTTGCTAACTAGTAGCTGTAACTAGCTGGCATCACGTGCCAAAATGCAGGCAATTTGAGTTGAATTACGAATACTCCCTGCTGATAGAGCACGTGCTTTTGATCATTAGTATAGTTTCTGTGGATAAACCCTAGATCTATCCAAGATCACCTTGAACCCGCTTGGTTTTTCGAGTTTTTCGCTTACCTTCGCAGCTCCGAAAACACTTTTGATGGCTAAGACACCAGATTCGATTCCCCGCGAGTGCGAGCGATAAAATTAGAACTTGTTTGTTGCCGAGCGAGAGTATCCGCAGTATCTTTATTTGAATCTGAATCTGAACCTGAATCGAGCGGAGCACACGTCTGCTCACCGCCAACGATCGCCTGCGTTTAAATTTGGCACTCGCTGCCGCTACTTGGGAACCTCGCAAATCAGCTCTCTATATCTCTCACTCTCTATAACTCACACCCTCTGTAGGATCCCACTCTCTATCGAGAACTCACACTCACTATCGAGCACACTCACTCTCCCCAAGTGGGCATGCCAACTATGTATGATCGGGGGTCGTTATCAGAAATCAGAAATCGACAAATACCCGTACTAAAGTCGAAATCCTCGAGTGCTACATACATATGTACAAATGTCCGCATTGCGTAGCCACTGCCTTCTTCACTATCAATTTAAATTAATAACGCTTCAACCAAGTAATTCCCTGGTCTAGATAAGTCGAGCTGATATTGACAGTTGTTTGTTTTGGTTTTGTCAGGCACTATAAATCGCCCCTCTTGTGGGCCCTAGCAACTGAAGAAGGGGGAGCACAAAGTGAGCCCATCGATCTATTGCTATAATGGGACTGATACAATTTTAACTTTTCTATTTCTGGGTAGCGAAACTCTTGACTGTCTCCGGTCTGACAAAAGAAATTGTCAATTGCTTATTGTTTGTTAGAAAATGTTAAATCGAATAATTTATCAATCACCAGCAATTACTATCAATCAAACACCATAATTACAGGGAAAAATTAATTGATAATAAAAAAAACACATATTAGATGTGTTTTGGGAACTATCTTCTGTGGCTTTATATAAGGTTTTATAAAAAACATAATATGTTCTTAAAACAGAGAACAATATTATATCATTGCAGTATTTATGAAACACAATTAATATGGAAAAACAAGAGTAGGGACGTAATTAATTATTTAATCCTAAGAAGCATTCATACTAAACTAAACAACGCAAGGGTAATTAATATTAAAGTTTGTATCTGCTTGTAAATATTTAAATTCAAACCAGTGCTGTAAAACGTATGGGCAGCCAACAGGTGGCATTGCCATTCAATGCAGCTTTAATGGCGTTAGCACCTTTGTTTGGGGCGTTTAGGTATTTTCGCAGCTTGTGTCACTACGGTCACATCCTGCCTTTGTTTTGTTTTGAAAAACCCACTGAATCGCATTTAATTTATTAAAAAACTTAACGAAATCATGTCCCACGCCGGCTATAGCCAGCTGCCCAGTGGCAGCGACCAGGAGCGCAGACAGGCCCAACTCTCGGCCAGCACCTATGACGTACTGCAGCGGACGGCGGACAGTATCCAACGGTCCAACCAGATCGCCATCGAAACTGAGAATATGGGCACTGAGGTTAATATCCGAAAATACACATTAAGGGGTGTGATAAATATTCAATTCCCGATCAACAGGTTCTGGGTGAACTGGGCGAGCAGAGGGAGTCGCTACTGCGCACCACTCGCCGCTTGGAGGACGCCGATCAGGATCTGTCCAAGTCGAGGGTCATCATTCGGAAATTGGGCAGGGAAGTGCTCTACAACAAGATTATCCTAATCCTCATTATCCTGCTGGAGCTGGGCATTCTCGTCGGGTTGCTGGTGCTTAAGTTCGCTCACCTGTGAGCGGCAGCGATTTTATTCCAAAGCTATAGCCACGAATCGGGCGTTGGACTATATATATCTTTTAACCGTTACAACTATATTGCCTTAATTACTGATAAGTTATGCCACATGTAAATAAGGGGAGTTGATCAAATATATACTCAGAAGTACAAGATGATTCCCATACTTTTAATTTGTTGAATTTTATTCTACTGATTTTAATACTCACTCGGAAATAGTTGTAATTAAAAGATTAATGAAAGCTTTTTGTCTGAACTTCAAGATATATTTACAAATTATAGAAAGGTATTCGGTTTTACACATTAAATTAAGATCAACATAGAGGGTAAATCAGTTAATCCCAAAAAATCCAAAGTCTAGTAAAATTCAGTTTTTAAGATATACCCAGCGATGAATTGGGTGCTTGATTATGTTTATTCATGTTTGCTAAAACGGTAATGCCTTAGACATCTATATGTTATTATGGTAGTAAAACACAGATAAAATCGGAACTGGACCTCGGAAGCTCTGCACTCCGATGGCTTCATTGCAACCCCGATGCATATATGCTATAACAATGATAATATGTAGTATACGTGCAGCACAATATGCCACGACTATTTGGCAAAAAGCAACGATTATTACACTCAGAGGACTACACATAGATATTATAACATCTTGAACAATGTCTGCATAATACTTGATCTAAGGTAAACGGTGTACACGTAAGTTTTGAGCATCACAATAGGATGCTTTGTTCGAGAGATGTTTGGATTCCGCAGGGCTGCACCGCCTCATTCCTTCGGAGCAGCACTCCGCTTCAGCCGCCTTCAATTGTCCTTGGGCAGGACGATGGACCAGCCAAAAACGCGGCGATCGAAGCCGCAGGAGAAGAGGTCGCAGTCCAGCAGGGGTTCCTCAGCCCAGGCCACCGAAGACACCATCCGACGGTGGCCCTGTCGACTGGTGCGTGGCAATCGGGCCACTCTTTGTCCATTCAAATCAAACAGCCGGATCTGTCTGTTGTCGTGCGGAATGGCGATGATACCTCCACTGGAGACCGCCAGTCGATTGACCGAGGAGTCCGTGCGAATGGTGGCCAATGCGGATCGCATGTTGCGCAGCTCCCACACCTTGATTGTGCGATCATCCGACCCGGACACTACCTTATCATCCCTGGCAAACACACTGGACGTAACCGTTTCCGAGTGTCCCTGAAAGACCGAGACCGCCGGAATGGCCTCTCTAAAGTCCCACAAACGAAACGTGGTGTCCCTGGAGGCTGTGACCACCAGACGCTGGGTGGGATGCGCCGACACGTGGGTCAGCTCGTGATCGTGTCCCGTCAGCGGCTGCAGTGGCTGTCCCGTCTCCACGTCCCACAGGATAGCGGTCCGGTCCCAGCTGCCCGTGATGATCTGGTCCATCGAAGAGAGCCAGTCGGCGGCCACCACCACCGAGAGGTGTCCCCCTGGGCCAGTGAACTCGCAGAGCGGAGTGCGCAAGGTGTCTACGCGATCGCGGTCCTCAACCTGCTCATCGCTATCGTCCAGCTCCTCCTCTGAAGAATGACCCTTCCTGAAAAATAGATGAACATAGAATTTTAAATTAAATTACATTTTGAACTCCCCTTCTTAACTCCCTACGCCCAGCTACTCACTTGGGCACTTCCCAATTGACGGCCGCCTGCCAGATGTGAGCGGTGCCATCGCCGCTGCCGGTGAGCACGAGATCCCGTTGCTGGTGGAACTTGATGGAGTTCACGGAGCCGGCATGTCCTTGGTACTGCAGCAAGCATCTGGCGCTCTCGACGCCCCAAATGCAGGCCGTGTGATCGGCGGAGGCGGTACCGATAATGGGCTGTCCCGCCTTGGCGGCCACCTGCCAGATGCCGTCCTTGTGGCCCCCAAATTCGCGCACCACCGTGCTGACCACCGTGGGTGCCTTGAAGCTGGACACGATGCGGCTGGTCTGGGCCTTGATCTTGTTGCTGGCCTTCGCCTTGCTGCCACCGGTGGCGCTGCTTAGTTTGGCCTTCAGGCTCTTGTGTGTGCTGGAAGCGGCGGCCAGAAAGCTGCCTGCCACTTCGTCCGCCTGCGTGGCTGGCGTGGCCAAAGCGGTGGAGGAAGCCTGAGCGCTTAGAGATCCGCCTGCTGTGGCGCGCGCCTCCTGTACCGACTCCTTGGTAGCGGTAGCCATATCCAGTTTCTCCTGCACTGTAATGGAGATTGACAAAGGTAATTTAAATATTTTTTTTTTTTTTAAATGTAATTGGAAATTTCAATACTTATTATGTTTATTCATTAATTTGTAACATCCCAGTTGAGGGACAGCCTAAGGGTCTCTAAAGAAAACTGGTCTAATTCTCCGAGAGACCCTTAAGACAAAATGATTTATTTTGTTTTTCAATGATGAATCTGAATATTCATAAAGTTAAAAAGGGTTTGATATAGTTTTCCCCTAAGTGAATAGTCTTGTGAAAAGTATATGAAAATGATAGGTAAATTATATACTTAGGTACTCACGGCTCTGATTCTCCAGGTAGAGCTGCTCGAACTCCCGCTCGATCTGGGCGAACAGGAAGTGGAGGCGTGCCCGGAAGGGCGCATCCTCCGGAACAACGGCCACGTCCTCCGTCAAACTAGTGAGCCGCGCAGCCCGAGTTTTTGTAGCCTTCATCCTCACTATTTGCTTCTTTGTTGAGTATTGTGTATCTCGCAAGCGAATCGCTGTTCTCGCTGGGCGGTGATTTCCGTTTCCTGTCGCTGGGCGCCCGAGGGAATCCAATTAGTGGTCAGGGGTTGCGGATTGCTGTTTTATTGATCCATCTTCTCTTGGTTTCAACGCATTTGCAGTTTTGGCTGACTGAGAAACTGCTGTTGCATTTGGTTTTCGCAATGATACTACCTGTGGGTGGCGGAGGCGCGGGGGGAGCACTGCGGAACAGCTGGCGGCAATGGCGATGTGTATCTTATCGATGTTCGGCTATCGCCTATCGCCCACAGCCTATCGTTACACTGAGAAAAACATTTATTATAGCTTTAGAATTATATATATATATAAAACTTATCCATATATAAAACTTATCCATATCTTAGAACTACATATCAACAAATAGTATAAGCCTTAAAAATCGCAAAAGATCTGAAGCATTTTCTATTTTCTTAACAATGATGCTGAAAAGTAACTCAATTTAAAATATCAAACAAACAAAAATCAAAAAACAGTTAGCTTGTTAACCCTCATCACAATTTAAGTGATAACTGATTTCTCCCGGTGCACTTTTGTAAGAGAGCTTCCACTCAACAAACCCAGTGTTGAGCAACGATTTCTTTAATGTGTAGAATGCTATATTTGACACGCTCAGGTATAAATATTTAAAATTATTTAATTATCTTTTCTAGACCAGTGCAAGTTGGCAACAATTAAAAAGGTTAGATTGATTGTTTATAAAGCTAGTCGTGAGCAGCTGCTTATCAACACTGTCTAGGTCAACAGCTGATTCGCCTATTATTCGAAGGGCTCTATTTTGAAAAGACAATTGGGGAGTGGGTCTGGCACTTTAAAACAAACAAAGCTGGCCACCATTTTAATTGGATCCCAATCGAACAGCTGACGTACGGCCATCCCCGTTAGTTTTCCCAATCTCGTTGCATATCTGTCATTACAACGCTGCAGTTGAATCAAACCGGTTTGTCGCCTCTCGATTTTTCGGTGGTTTCATTTCATTTCCCAACTTTGCTCATCGAGTGCCAACGAACTCGCTGGGTTTTTAAATAAATCACCTCCATCCTACCGTTCAGTTCAGAATAGCCTGGCAGTATGAAAAACGTTTTGGATGTAATGTCGTTGCAGCAGCACGTGGAGTCGAACAAGGCGCAGACCATGAAGCCCATCGACTATCGGTAATACTATTTCTCTAAATCACCTATGTACATCTGCATAATCTTAACCCAATCCTGTCCAGCAAGCTGAACAAACCCGGCGTGGTGCCGATGTACATCTTCGAGTGCGCTGCCAAGTTAAAAATGAAACCTTTGACAGCTGCCTGTGCGGCCATAGTATACCATCGGTTTTTCCGGGAGGTCAAGGCCAGTGACTACGATGAGTTCGTGGGTATAGCAACCTATCAAAATCGGAAAGAATATCATTGCGTATCCCTTCAATTCCCAGCTAATTGCAGCATCATCTTTGTATTTGGCTGGCAAAATCAAGGACGACGAGAGCGTCAAGATACGCGATGTGATCAACGTGGCATATTGCACACTGAACCGGGGAAATGCTCCATTGGATCTGAACGATGAGTACTGGTCGATGAGGGATGCCATTGTGCAGGCCGAGCTCCTCATCACACGCACCCTGGGATTCGATCTCAACATAGATCTGGCCCACAAGGTATGTCCCTAACTGGCAGAAACCGAACAATATCTTATCTACTATCTTATCATTTATAGTACTTACTACACTACATGAAGACTCTGCAAGACTGGGTGGGCGCCGATGTGTGGAATTCGGTGCCTATTGCCAAGGCAGCTGCCTCCTACTTACAGGACTTCCACCACAGCGCCAATATCCTCAAGTACAAGCCCACCCATGTTGCCATTGGGTGTCTGTCGCTCGCCCTCCAGACATACGGCATTCAGGTGCCCCTCACCGATGAGTCCGACGAATCTGCCATGTGGTACAAGCCCCTGGTCAAGGACTTCACCCGCGAGAACCAGTGGGAGATCATTGAGAACGTGATTGAGGTGTACAAGCATGAGGCCTTCTTAAAGGCCGCATAATCCCTCCGAGACTGCCAAAACCATTCCTTTTTCCATCTGAATTTATTTATTTTCCCTTCGCACATCATAAACCTAACTCAGACTATCTGGGCTCTATGCTCAAATGTCCAATGCATTTACATGCCCTCGTCAAAACAAAATAAATCTACCTGGATTGAAATTATATATGCTCGCAAGACACAAGATCTGTGGATCAACAGAGCCGATATCTTAGATCTATTCCTCGAATCAAACTATTTTTTCAACGAAGAAATAAAAGGGTGTTGTGTTGCAAATGAATGAAAGTTTTCAAAGCTGTTTAAGAAACTGGTTGAGCAGTTAAAGAAACGATAATAAATAGTTCTTTTGCAATGACTTTTTAATTAAAGAAACCATTTGATATATAAACACAATCAAATAAATGACAAATTCCATGGTGCCCAACTGATTACACAATGTGATTTTCAGAGATATTGGCCATGATCTTGTTTTCAAATACGTTTTTTTTAAAGTTATTTTTGAGTTTTAAAATATTTTTTTTATATAAGCAAAATAAGGTTTACAGTTAAGCCTTATTTGAAAAGGGTTAAACAAAAATTTAATTATCTTAAAAGTTAAAGAACTATTTTAATTTTTTTTTTTTTTGATTTAAACTAAAAACTTTCAGAAATCGATGTAGTCGTTGTATCCTCATTTGAGTATTAGTCTCTTTTGCATATAATACATTTTCTCTTAATACACGCAGTACCTGATATCCAAAGTTTCTTATAGATAATTCACATCACGCAGTCATTTTTACAAAAAAATTTCCCTGATTGCGATGACAACCCTGCGCCCCACCGACCCAGTGTTGACTAACGCCAGCATGGACAAAAACAATGCGACTTCGTAAACAAATCATTTTTTTATATACAGAACATTACCAGCGCCAACAGACAAGGACAATATGCGCAAGACGTGGGTGAAGCGGGAGAACATATACTTCAAGCCCTTCTACAAGCAGAAGTCAAAGATGTTCCTGCTGCTCATCTTCCTGGTCGGGATATCCTTCATCGCGTATCAGGTGAGCCCCCCAAAGGATTTGGCTTGGCAGTGCAATGTGTTCATTAAGTAAACAATAATATTAGGCCTTCTCGCTGAACCAGCTGCCCGGAGTGCCGGCTCCGTGGAATCTGCAGCAGATCAAGCTGAAACACCAGCAGATGATGCAGTCGCTGGGCAGCAAGCAGCGCGATGTGGATGACTTTGATGGCGGAGGAGTGGATGCAATTGCTCCTGCAGGCGGAGCCACATCAGCAGTTGCTGGCCACGATGATCCCATCAAGATTGTTAGGTAGGGTAGTGCTGTTTTCCCAGCTTGCATTCACTTCATACTCCGTTCTGTTCCTAATCCTTTAAAGGGGCACCAGGCTCTTCGACTACGATGCCTACAAGCCCAACTTCGAGGGAAAGTTCCGGTGTCTGGATGGCTCCAAGGATATCGCCTTCGACCACCTGAATGACAACTACTGCGACTGCGAGGACGATGGTAGCGATGAGCCCAGCACGAATGCCTGTGCCAAGGGGCGCTTCTACTGCCGCTACCAGAAGCGTCACATCACGGGTCGTGGCCTGGACGTCTACGTGTCCAGCAGCCGGATCAATGACCACGTCTGCGACTGCTGCGACGGCAGCGACGAGTGGACCACGGGAGCCAAGTGCCCCAACGACTGTGCGTAGTTGTCGGCTGGGATTCCCCCGACCCAATCCTCTTCCGGATCCACCTCCTCCACCTGTGCACCCAGGACACAAATCTCAAGGATGAAGCTGTCTGGCGCATCACAAGCGATATTTTTTGTACGAGTACAATAGAATTGTAATTTATTTTAAATTAAGTAGATTCAATAAATGAAACAAAAAGAATCAATGAAATACGATTTCATGGACGGTCCCAGTTTTCACATTTTAAGAATTTGTTGTAAATAAATATAAGGACATAAAATAAATGTGAAAACCGGAAGATATCCCTTGAGTGATTGTTATTTTATCCATATATGCTTATTCATTTTATTACCAGACTCACATAAATCAGTAGAATTTACATTGGGAACTCTATTAGATTTCTTTGCTTGACTTTCTCTGAACTTATTTGGTTTCAAATTCGCAGCGTTTTCATTTATAATGTTCAATTTACATCTACATACACATTCATATGGTATGACCGTCTGTAATTTTAGTTAATAGGGTTCTTGCCTAAAAAGGTATGTGCAATTTTAATTCGTAAAATGTACACCGACAAACTCTAAAGCAATTTTGAACTGCAAATTCTACAAAGGTACGAAATTTTGTGTAATTATTCCCTTCTATGCACTTTAAGATTAATTGGATTCTCTCGGTTTACGGTTTGTCTTGTTTGTTGGATAAGCGGAAGCGGTAATGATATCCATATCGATATATTTAGTTTAAGGAACGCGCGCCATTACAATTATTCTCGGATCTGACTTGGCAAATTCACTTTATTCGCATTGAGTACTTCTTTGACTTGCCCAGCACAATCAGAAAAAACTACGTATACGTATACTATGCCTGGACGAGAAGACTGCTGATTCTCGACTCGCCTCACAAATTTGATACTTTGCCCCCAGTTCGCGATCGAAACTGAGGATCGACCTAAGTAAAGTACATTTTGTTGTGGTTTTCTTGCCATATGCAACTTAAAGTAAAGCTTACGTACGCTAAGTAATACTTAATCAGAGGGCTTTGTGGGGTGTGTGTGTGTGTGTTCTGGGCTGGTTAGGTTAACGCGTCTGTGCTGATGATATATAAATTCCTTGGGGTACTTAAAACGAAAATTGCTTGAGACACGCTACAAATATAGTGGATGCTCTACAAAGTTTATATCATGTGCGCAAATCACAAATCTTTTTCAATTACAATAAATAGCTTGGAGTGTTTGTATAAAATAAGAAATGATTTTAAAATCAGCATATATATATGCATATATATATATATATATAGATATATATCTTTAGATTTATGTATATTATTGCACTGATGAGATTTTTCTTTCAGTTTAGGGCCAATTAAAAAAATGAGATGTTTAAGAGTACAAAAAAAAAGAATTGGAATAAATAAATACATATACAAAAAACACTGGACTGGTAAGATAAAAGGAAGTTGGTAGGTGTGCGAACTGACTTAATCTAGATGCTGCTGATGCTGGTGGTTCTAAGAAACTTTCTCTCATACAAGTATACATAGATATAGTTAAGTTACAGATCTAACGGCAAAGCGTATAATACAATTTCTGCAGTTTGCGTTTCGAGCGACACTGATGATGATGGTGGTGCGAGTGGTGATGTGAGTGGTGGTGGTGGTGATGGTGATGCCTGTGAGATGTTGCCTGATGGTGATGATGGCGCGCCTGTGGCGGCTGAGGCAGCGCCAGCTGTTGCTGCTGCTGCTGTTGTTGTTGCATATGGCCGTGGTGATGATTATTTACAAGGCTCGCGGATGAGGCGCTCAAGGCCACCGCCGACGAGATCAGGGCCGCAGCCAGGCGCGAGGAGGAGGCCAACGCCAGCTCCGGAGCGGCAGCCAGTAGCTGCTGATGATGCTGGCGCAGCTGCGCCACCTGCTGACGCTTGAGGGCGGCGGTCCCCTTGCGCATCGCGTGCAAGCGACGCCTGTGATGGTGCGGATGCAGTTGCAGCTGTCACTTTGCCTCCTCGCCGGCTTCCAACAGACTGTTGCTACCATTGTTGGTGGCCACAGTCGCCGCCGACTGCTCGCTGATCCCCACACCCTGTTGCTGCTGCTGCTGCTGGAGCTGTTGTTGCTGCTGGTTCAGGGCATGAACATGCTGGCAGAAAGCCTGAAGCACCTCAAAGTGGGTCATTAGGTTCGCAGGCTGGTTGTCGTAGTGCAAGTGCCGGGTAATCGGGGCATTCAGCCGCCTCAGCATCTCCGTGAACAGCTTCTCTTCCTTGCGAATCCAGGGTCGGCGATCGTCCTGCACTTGGTAGGGCGTCAGGTGAACGTGGATGTTCATGCCTGCTTAAGGAGTCCCACTTGTTAGTTTATCCCAATTGAAACGGACTCTCTCCACTTACCCATGCGCGTGAGCGTCTCCAGTAGACTGCGGGAGGTGATCCATGTGTTCTTCTGGCCCCCGTGCCCGCCATCCAGCCAGTACATGTCCGAGATGCGGGAGAGCAGTCGGCACATGCTGCTGTCGTCGGGCGTCAGTGTTTTCAGATAGTGAAACTCGTAGATGAACTGCAAAACAAATGAGATTTGTGATTAGAATGGTCAAAAATGTGATTTCCACAGCCCTTTCAGATTCTGGTGTTTTTTTTTAAAAAGGTTTTCTATAGATACACATCCTAAACACTTCTTTAATTTATTTGGCAATAATTTTCACTTTCAACTTTTCATTTCATTAGCAACATATATTTTTTTTAAAAGGATCATTATCGTAGCGTTTTTTATCAACATCAGAGAGCAAAGGGTTACTAATTCTGTTTCCTTTGTCAATTGGTTTAAAAGAAAAAAAATAATCAAATTTGAGTGTTTTAAAAAAATAATGTCTTTAACAGAATACGTTATCATTTTAGCTGAAAATTCTTTAAAAATTCTGTACAAAAAACTAATATAACATTTAAAAACTCCCCAGAATCTAGCGTTCAGTTCTGAAAGGGATTGGAGCAGGTGTTAGGGCGAGTGGGTCAACCAGTTAACGAACCAAACGCGACTCACTTGATTGAGCACGACGCAGCCCTTGCTGAAGCCAATCAGTACCAGCTTGGACTTGTCTAGGTTGAGGTTCTCACGCCACCACAGCGGATTGCTGTCGCCGGTTGCCGTGGATGCGGATGTGGCCGTTGCCGCGGCTGATGTTGCAGTGGTGGCAGGAACCGGCCTCGTGGCACAATCGTTGTTGTAGTGCTCCACGTTGTTGGTGGCATTTAGCGCCGTTGTGGGAGAAGTCATCTTTATGGCCGCCGCCGTCTGCTGCGGTTGCATTGGCTGGTTATTCGCCTGCTCCCGGTGGTTGTTCACACCGTCATCGTTTCCGGCGTCGATGTTGCCATTATTTCCGGTCACATTGTTCACCGTCTCCGGCGCATCGCTGCCCACAATGGGAAATATAACCGCCCCATCCGCGTCCACTGTGATATTCTCCTGCACTTGCAGAATGTCAATGTCCATCTCCTGGCTGCTGTCGCTGGCCGGTGCCGACTGCGAGTTGGACTCCGAGGTGACCGTGGCGTTGGAAAGCGTCAGGGCAGCGGCAGCAGCAGCAGCAGCCACCGCCGCCGCAGCTGCTGCCGCCTGAGCGGCCTGATCCAGGATTTCGTTCTCTGGTATGGATATCAGCCGCTGCGACAGATTCTGGAGCAGTCTGTGGAGATTAACAAGAGGTTTTAGCAAGGGTCTCTGGTGCTGTACACATTAAACTCACTTTTCTAGATGCTGGAGGGCATGATTCATGGGCGTGTGATCCGGAACTCCAGCGTTGTTGCCCCTCACAAAGTTGTCAAAGCAGCTGAATGTCTTAAACTCCATGCTGAAAAGGACAAGGTTTTTAATTAGCCAATACAAATAACTTGTCATGTTGTGAACACTCACCGCACTGGCCGAATGACGATGATGTGTGACCTAGGAAAAGCCTCGCGCAGAAGGATCGCCGAGTTCTCGAGGTTGTACTTCATGTAGCCCCGGCTATCTCGGTTCGTTTCCATGCTCTCCGGGAAGTCCTGTACGTCGCCGCCAAAGTAAATGATGGCCGTTGAGTCCTCCGGCACGTGCACAGAGTGCTGGCGCACGATCGGCGGGCAGTAGACAATGTCATTGGCCCGGTTCTGGAATCCGGCCACGGAGAAGATGCGGAAGGGGCCGGCCGAAGTGCTTGGCGTGCACAGACGCTCCCCGCTGCCGCCGCCAAGCATGCCCTCGAAGTTACGGATCCGCTCTTGCAGTTGCAGGAATTGATCAATGGTGAGCTGCAGGATCGGATCGGAGGGGATTACTTGCGTGGCAGAATGGATGACCGAAACACCTAACGCAGCATAATTTGCACAGCACTCACGCAAAACCTGGTATTCAAACCTCCCTCGAATTGTCAGAGTATATATGTAAATATAAATCCCTTTCCTGACTGCTTCTTTGCAATGGTTTCTGAAGAAAGATTGCAAATGCTTTGACTGCGTATAGAATAAACGGGTTTAATATGGGATTTTAAGGAACATAACGATTAATAGAAATAATATATGTTTGGAATCAAGTAATTCAATAAATTCTCTCTGATCCAAGTGAAATTACTAGCCCTGTAAATATGAATTCTAAATAATACATCTCGATACCTTCCTTAAAAACTTAAAAAAAATTTTAAGGAAATGGCCTATCTTAAAACCCGTAGTGTTAATAATGGATAAATCTTAAAACATTTGTTATACTCTCATTCCACACCTTTATATCTTTGTAGCTAAGTAAAATAAGTAAATTCAAATATGGGACCTATCAAAACGCCAGCTAAACTTAATATACTACCCGCTTCAGAGCCCCTCACATCTGCCTATTTGTTATCCTAGTAGTAATCGTCCTGGTAGGCATCCCGGGGATTCCCGCAGCAGCCGACAAATCGCAGCCGTGTGTCCTCCATGCACAACTTGGCGTCTTCGCGCATCTCTCGCGCCTTTAAGCGCACCTCCTCGCGCATCAAGTTGCGACACATGGCCACCAGACCCATGCCCAGCAGCATGTAAACGAAGTTAATGGCCAGCTTCGAGTGCTGGTCGGCGGCCACGGACTGCAGCTGTGCCAGCTCGGCAGGATCGGCGGCGATGTCCTCCTGCAGCTTGTGCGACGCCGCATTCACATCCGCCGAGGTGGTCAGCGAGGCACCCGGCACAAAGTCCCCGAATCCAATCTTGCACAGCGACGTCATGCAGAAGTAAAAGCTGTTCAGGAAGCTCCACTTCTCCCAATTGGCAAACATCACTGTGCCGGTGAGGACGTAGAAGAATATTACCCACAGACAGGCGGTGGACGGCACAATGACCTTCTTGCGGGCCATGGTCACACCTCCCTCGAGGGCGTCGAGGCGATCTACGCGCGGATGCTCCTGGGTGCAGTCGTGCATGGAGCGGTAGAGGAACTTGAACGAGCGGGCAAGCACTCGTCCCATGCTCAAGAAGTACAAAATGTACAGGGGTATTCCGAAAGTGGCGTAGATCACGGTGAATCCCTTGCCCCACGGAGTCCTGGGCACCATGTTGCCATAGCCGATCATGGTTATCACCGACAGGCAAAACATGAGGGCCGCCGGAAAGCTCCATATTTGGTCGGGACTACGGCCCACATAGCCGTGCTTGACGACCCCGGCTATTTGCGCCTGGTAGTCCCGCAGAACCGCATTCGTGGCCTCCGTCCAGCGAGGGCGATCGATGAGATTGTGCTCCTCCGTGATGTTCCACAGCTGCTGGGAGCACTTCCTGCGCAGCTCCATCACATGGCCACTGGTCTCGTCCACGAACTGGCGCTCTATGTGCATGAAGGCGAAGGCTCCACAGATGGCATATATCACGATCAGGGCGCCCACGCCAACCTGGGTACACATGAAGGTGCAGAAGTTCCGGCAGCAGCGTTTCACTCGCTTCCGGGGCTGATTGCTTGGTGTAGAGGAAACGCTGGACGCCCCGCCCACTCCTCCGCCGCCTCCACCTCCGGGAGAACTTTTCCTATGAAATTTGCTGGGCATTTTTATCTTTCATGGATTATATAACCGATTCCACGGCTGCTGGAACTCTCCCTTCTTGTCGATTGACCTTAGAGCCTGAGGATGTGCAATTAATTTGGCAGTTGTCGATTCTCAATCCGATTTGGAGCACTGCGAGTGTGGAAATCAGCACGTTGGCTAAAAATAAACCCACGACTTTGCACGGCACATTTTCCAAAAGCCAAACACGAATGATTTTACCGACTGCACAACCGATCAACGCGGGCGCCAAAATTCAACTGGGGGGAAAACTATTTCGAGGAAAAATCTCCCAAAAGTAGAGAGAAGAATGAGCGCAAAAACCAAAGAAAAAATGAGTGGGGGCAGCCGAATGTTTGGAAAACAAATAATGCGGCTTAGATATTTATGCGAGCAAGTGCCCGCGGTTCTAAATTAGGCCATTTGCGTCAAATTTATGAACAGGGCAATCAAGATATCACCCTGGCACAGGTGCAATATAATAATGTAAAAGATAAATAGGATATGGACACAGTTCTTAATAAAACAGTCCCAAAAATGTCAGTTTTCAAAAAGACTTTCTTAATTTTAAATATAAAAATACAGTAGTCTTTAAGAACATGTATTTTGTACTAATATATAATATAAATGATCTGTAAACATCAGCTTTGTGTTGGAAAACTGGGTTATCAAGCCAACATCATCAGCAATGGTAAAGTAAATTTAAGTATTAGTATAAATTAACTATGCAAAGATTCCTTCAAACTTCCAATCCCGAATTTGATTTAGAAAAGATAAAGTTTATGTCCTTTTAAAAGCCTAACTGTAATTACGTAAAATATTGTTTTAATTTAAAAGCCAATTAGGACGGCAATGCAGTTTGGCAGCGGCTGTGAAAAAGAACATGTCGAAGGCATTTAACATTATATTCCCAATTAGGATTCCGCACGTTCTGATATTATCTCCACCTAATACTAAAGTTTCACCTTCTACATGATTTTCACGGTTTTCCGAAAGGTATTGACTGCTGGCGGGTCATACAAAATGATGGCACTTTGATTAACGATGGTGAATGTGGTGGAGCAGACGGTAAAAGCTTTTGGGAATCCCAGAATCGAAATCGGGAACTATTTTTACACCGCTTAAATCAAAACTCGGAAAACCATTCGCCATCGGGTAACAACAATAAAACTGGTGGCCCCCAAACAAACTATACGTAAATATAAACAAAGAATTAAAAAACGAAAGCGGAGAACGCACACACATACACACGTACGCAGGCGGCTATGCTGATACAGAAGAAGAGGAAGAGAGATCAAATACGCAAAAACGGGGGGTGAAAATGCGTAGCGAAGAGATAGATTTTTTCAATACCAGCGCACTCGACACACACTCACACACACATAGAATTGCGCTGCTGCACACTCACACAGACGCACTTGAAATTTCACAAAAGTTTATGCAAAATTTTCCGGCATTTACCGCTGCATTTTGATCTGCGATTTTCCGCTACTTACGCTGTTTATTTTCGTTAATCGTTGCGCGTGAAAATTTGGGCGATTTTTCAGCACTTCCCGCGTATTCGTAATCCCGTATTCCCTCTTCGTCTGTTTTTCTTTTTTCTTGCGTCTGTGTTTTCGCGACTAGAGCTGCCAGAACTATCGATGGCACTATCGGAAATTTGGCTATTTCGATAGTTCGGCGATTTCATGCAACCCATGGTCATTCCTTTATTTGTTTCTTGATACATTTTTTGGTATGTAAAGTTTTTTATTTTGTATTGATTTTTATTAGGTTAACTATGATATTTTTTGTATCTATCGGTATTTCAGCTTATATTTGAACGTGAAGCCACACTGACTATCGAATAGACAGGAAAATTCGATTTTTAGTGTGCCCACCTTTGGTATTTTATCTAATACTTCAAATGTGTATGCAGTGGCAACGCTAAAGACTTGGCGCATTTATTTTAAATTTTTAAAAAGCATAAAATAATGAGGGTTGTTGTAGCTCATTATATCTACATCTACATATAAAACAAAAAAAATTAATTATTAAATGGGATATTGTTATATTTGTATTACTGTTTTTATGAACGATTTCCTTTCTTCAACTGCCGATGAACTTACCTAAGTAGTATTTAAATTTAAAACATTTTGCCTAAATCACCTGATTTTAAAATGCTACCCAATCAAACTTGTTAACCTTTTTTTTCTGCATTCTCACTACATTTTACACTACATATACATACATAGTAGTATTTAAATTTAAAACATTTTGCCTACATCACCTGATTTTAAAATGCTGGCCAATCAGACTAGTTAACCTTTTTTCAGCATTCTCACTACATATTACACTACATATTAAAATTATAACATAGTCGTTTTATAAACTATTTTATTTTTGTAATAGTTGTTCTTAATGACTTAAGTAAATCTAGCACACAATTGGTATTACTTTTATTTATAAGACCTTTTTTATGTTTTTGAACAATGCGTTGCGGAGAAACCATACCTTCCAGCAGGAAGTATTCCTTGGTAGAATATTTTAAGTCCCCATTTTTTTTTTTTAATTTTTTGCTCCCAACTATGTCGTAAGCTAAATTTGACCACAAATAACTTATATATATATATATATAACCTATAGGGTACACAGCCAAAAAACAGCACTAAAGTCTACCAAGAGGATATTAATATTGAACGAACCTTTAAATTTGTTCTTGCTGTGTGATCAATTTGTAAGACCTGAAATCCCTATAAAATTACGTTATATTGACGGATTTTAACGAACTTATTAAAGAAGAAAGAATCTTACCTTGACAAGCTAAATAAAAATTGCTTCTGGATTTAACTTACCATTACTAACCAATTAATTACCCCATCTACAGGGGGTCATTCCAATACATATGTTGAGCCTGTAAAATAAAATTCCCACCCGCAAGTTCAACCCAAAACCCTGAACCAGGCCTCCGAACCCAAACCCAATGCTGAACCTAACGATTTGAATTGTGCTTCCAAGTAGGGACGTGGTCATGAAGGGCAGAACATGAAACGAGTGGTGTTGATATATGTTATAATAGTAATCATAAATTTTATTTGGTTTTATTTGCTGTTTCGCTTGACATTTAAATGCTGCTAGTGAATTATATTTTGATTTAAATTTGAATAAATTTGAAATATATATTTTTTTGTTATATATATAAAGATCTTTATGGATTGATTTATTTAAACTGGTAGACGACGAAAAACTGTTAATAATATTTTATTGTTGCTGTGTTGAGTGCCATGCTTCGGCACTGCCACATTTGTGTTTGCATATTGATTAATTAAGTTTGAAAGTGTAGAGCAAAAAAATAAGTTACAACTTGCTGTTGTTTTGTATTTGCGCATGACGAACGTGGAGCAGTATTTGATTTGGGATTCAGTCCCAGTCCTCTTTCCACAGAGCAACCCTCCAGGCCCAGATCTTTGGGAGCTCTTGTTCCAATTGGCCGATTACAAGATCGACGTACAAAAATATTTTGTTTACGATTTATGCTTATATATGGAAAAAAGATTAGAAAAATCCAGCTAGTCTCCTTTCAGCTTTCTCTAGTTAGTTTTCATTTGGTTTCTCGCTGCTTGGTTTCGTTTTTTTTTTATATAATTTCATATTTATTACATTTTTGGTACATAAATCTGTGTGTAGTAGTGGTTTGCCTTAACATCTGTGCTGTTGTTGTTTTTTTTGTTTTTAATTTTCGGTAGTTTATTGGCTTAACGTTTTTCAACTCAATCAACGTAAAACTAAATAAAATTATGATCTCTGTGTGCACATATTTTTGAATATATATACACACGCACATGCACGTAACTTAAAATTAGGAAATCAAGTAAGATTTTAAAGTTAAGGTAAAAGTAAGTTTAAAGAATAACTAGAATATAATTTTATACATTTTGTGCTTTGGACCGAAAGATAACAATTTTGAATAATGCTATAACAAAAATCTTCTAAATAAATATCCAAAAGGCAAGCAACTTTAGCCAAATGTTGCGTCACCTTTACGATATTCTACCATTTTTTTTTGTTATTTTTTCACTTTAGATTTGTATTTTGTTTTTATGTAAAGTTTTGTGCCGAAAATATCACATTTAATTTTATATTTTATTTTCCTTTATAATATATTTTTTGTTTGTTTTTGCCGAAACATAATTTTGTCTATCACAAAATGTTTAAAATTAATTACTTGTGCCGTCTCTGCGGGGACGTTTTGGTTATGGTAATCAAAAAGCAAAATCATCGATTACAAATTATAATGAATTCGTCCAATTTCTCGCCAATTGAGCAGACAATGAAGCAATTTAAAAATATAATTTCTATAGATTTTTCCAATAATTTTATTTTTTTTTTGATTTTAGTGATATGATTTTTTTTCTTGTATAGCCCTCAAATCAGCTAACTTTCATTTCTTCGTGTTTTAATATATGTGTTTGTGTACTTTAACTAAATAAACATTTGACCATAAATATAAACATTCTTAACAAAAAAGTGAGGTGGTTCAAGTGGTTCGAGCTAATCCTAAAAAGTTTAACTTAACGCATAGGACAAAATCAGAAGATTGTTAGAGAATATAAAAAAAAACAGAGGAAAAAATTGGTAAACTATTGGCTATCGAATCGGAACCGATTAAAATAACATATACGTGGTAGTTTATGTATAAGTGCTAACGGTCTACGTAGATTAAAATTAAGCAATCAACAATAAAACTGAAATGCATTTGAGGTATATGAAAATTTCTTTGTAGTTGGTTGAGTAGCTCCCTCATCCGTTGCCTACTCTGCAGAGCATATTGGTTAACACTACGATCTAAATGGTAAACAGTAAAATAAACTAAAACCTAATGTGACCTTCGTATGAGTAGTAGTTGTGGGTGACTGTTGCTGTTGCTGTGGCAGCTGCTGCTCCTGCTGCTCCTCCTTCTATCGTCTGGTGACCCCACGCCTTCGGTGGTGTGGTGGTGACCCCATTCCGCTGACCGAATCAGCCCGTGTGTTTTTTCCTTTCTCTATCATTAGGGTAGTTATTACTTTTGTAGTTTTTAGGAAACAACATTTAGAAACCTTCGAAACGGTTTGTTTGTGGCTTTAGAAAACTGTTCTAGCCGAACGTCTTGCTTTCGCTGCCCTGTTTTATTGGTTATATCCTCCTCCTTAGTTATCAACTGAAACCTTTTCCTAATTTTTCTTTAGTTATACACACATTTATAAATTGATGGGACGATTGTGTCAAAGTTTACCAATAGCTATAGTTAAGATTATCAATATACTTTTAACGCGTTTTGTCATAGCATCTTCGGTTCTATTAGTTGTGGGTTATTGTTATTGCTTGAATAGCTAGTGGGTAATGTACAGACGACGACTAAATGCAAGAAAAAATCCATCTAAACTGCAGCGATTTACAATAAACTCTCGCTGTAGCCATATCTATTGCTAAAGTTGCTATAGTTGCTGATGTAGTAAGCTGGTTGCTGATGTTGCTGCTGCTGTTGCTGTTGATGTAGCTGCTGCTGGTGGTGCTGCTGCTGGTGTTGCTGCTGCTGTTGCTGCTGCTGTTGCTGCTGATAAAGCTGGCGATGTTGGGCTGAATTTGGGCCCCGACCACGCCCTTAAATGGACGAGTTCAGCTTAAGCAGGCGGTCCGGATGCTTGACCCGCAGATGGGAGCGCAGCGTATCGATCCTGCTGTAGGTGGCCGGGCAATAGGGACACATGGACCGCTGGGCGGTGTGCGAGTGGAAGTGGTGCCAGCGGTTGGTCACCTCCTTGCCGCAGGAGCGGCACCGCCACATGGTGCCCGGATCGCGGGACGGCGTGAACATGTTGTGGTACGACATGGTGTGATGTGAATTATGGCCACCGCCGGCTGCAGCTGCTCCGCCGGCTGCTCCTGCTCCAGCTCCTGCTCCTCCCGATCCGGCCAATCCGGCACTGTTTGGCGTGTTGCCCGATCCCTGATTGTAGCCGTGGGCGGGCGGGCCGTTGTGGCCATTGCCGGCGGCGATATAGTGCAGCGGATGATATTCGCGTTTCAGGGCCGCCGACAGGTGCATCCCGAAAGGGGGCGGCGGGGGCGAGGCCGACGACGAGGTCGACAAGGGAGTCGACAGGTGGTGGCGGGCGCTGCTGCCTGCGTTTCGAGAACGAGAAAGAGAAGAACAGAACACACAACAGCCCGTCGAGCGGGACGAAAATCAGCCCAGAGAAATAGATTTCTTTTATTTTTTGAATTTTTTTGTTTTTTTTTTTTGGTTTGGTTTTTCGTATAATAGACAGAGAGAGATAGTGGGTGGGGGTGGTGTAAAAGTGAGTGTGTGAGAAAGACAGAGAAAGAAAGAGGGGGAGAGATATATGGCTTGAGACAGAGATAGGTAGTTCCGTTTTGTGAGCTTAAAACAAATATACTTAGGCGGCATAATGAAAAAAGATCAAACTAGACTAAGAAAATAAGAATCTAAGGAAAAAATACAAAAAAAAAATTAGTATTTATAAAAACAAACAAACGTGACTAACTACAATCAAGCAACTTAGGTCAACGGAAAATATACATAAATGTGTGGCTAACACAAAAAGATTTCGGATCGTTTCTGCGTCTCCTCATATATTTCAGCGTGCAAATGAAATATTCTTTACTTTCTTTAATAATATAGTTCATAAATTTAGATAAGTATAGGTATATGTATATAACGGCGAGTTTCTTTTACAACTAACGGTTATAAAATATAAATTTGAATAGTGCGCCGGATAAGTAGGCAACCTTTCTGTATAAAAATTTATTTCAATTAAGGTAAAGTCGCTTTTGTTTTCCAATGCACTATTCAGTTACAAATTAACTTATAAAACGCCTCCGTTTGTTACTGCAATATCCTTTCTTTCGGCTTTTGGTAATTTTACCTTTTTTAAATTTTTTACAGATGAAATTAGTCACAATCGACGCATACATATAGATATATTCATGTATATATAAATATTTATTAAATAGCACAAATGTGGGTAACAATTCTTTTATGATCAAATGAGGGGTAATTTTCCTGTAAATTCGTATTTTGCAATACTAATTTTCTTTCCTTTTTTGGGTGTAACTCATTTGTGCAAATAATCATTTTGGCTTACACTTAACGAATTCGGGCTGAAACTGATACATAATAAATCCATATATATATATTAAGTAGATAAAAGTAGGGTATTCGTAAATGTTGAAAAGAGGTTAACAAATTCAAATCATAAAAAAAAACAGGAAATTGGGCCGAGGTTTGAAAATTCTCTATGCGTATGTGTGTGTGTGTGTGCGCATGTGTGTAGACAAATGTGGAGGTGAGTGTGTTGGTTGGTATATAGTTTCTTAAACATAAGTTCGACTTTTCATGGGCACCCTAACATCATTGGAAGCACAATTCAAAGCGCACAGCAGAACGGGATTCGGAGATTCGGTTTCGGAGTCAGAGGATCAAAAATAATAAAGTGATCACCATATAGTTTTGTTTCCATAAAATTCAATTTATTTGATTTAGTTTTAATTTTTTTTTTTCTTTTATTTGTTTCTCTGTGTGTGTTTCTGTCTGTCTGTGAGGGTGTGTGTATATGTGTTCTTGTGTGAGATTGGTTCATCTGCCTGTTCTTCAGTTATAGTTATATGATTTTATTACGGTTTAGTAATTCATTTTGTCTCATTGAAAGGCTGCCATAATAGATAGAATGTTTATTAAAAATCGTTTTAAAAAATATTGTAATATATATATTTATGTGTGTATATATAAATTGTAACAAATGCTGCAAGCATATTGTGGGCTTGCTTCACTTTGCTTAACGTTAACTAAACTGATTTCATTTTTTTTCTGATTTTTTCTTTTTTCTTTTCGTTTTTTCATGTTCAACTTTTTTTGTTGTTGCTGCCGCTGTTGTTGTTGTTTATAAATAAAACTAAAAATAGTTTGTATTGCATTTATTAATACAAAAATTATATTAAACTAAGTTTACATTGAAACTAGCACGTCATTAAAATTAGAGGTTCGAACCACTTCTGATCGACTGCAAAAATGCTGTTAAAATTGGTTAAACGAAGTCAAAGTCAAAGTCAAAATCGAAATCAAGTACTGAATTCAAAATAGTTTAAAAAAGGCACCAAAATAAATATGAGAGTGTTTTTGGGCTGTGTGTGGTTTTTGTGTTGGTGGTGTGTTTCGGTAATTTGATAAGCTTGATGACATTTATTGTAAATAGACACAGAAATTGTAGCGAAAACTTCTCATTAACTAACTGCTCTTCTACCTGCTGCTTTATCAGATGTATATATATATTTATAATCATATTCATAGTGATATGCTAACATTTATTTAGTTTTCTGGCGGTGTCTCTCCTCCAAATTTTTGTGACATTTAAAAGAATTTCGAATAGCTTCAAAATGCAGCACAGCATTATTTTTTTTAAATTGATGTGGGGGGTAAGCACCGCTTTGTATTTACACATATTTTTATTTTTTGATATTTTTCTTCGCATAATTCAAATGGTTGGCTTTTGCGTGGTCTCGTCAACATCCTGCACCTTAAACGAAAACTAGTCATATTGCACATACGATACGATTCAAGGAGAGCTGACCTCCTCCTTTCATTCCCTCTTGACCTACTCATTATACTTTAAAGTATATTTGGATTTAGCACCATTTTGCATACCACACAAACTATAGATTACTTTCGATCGTTTTTTAAAAAAACTTCAACTCTCTACATTCCGGCTTAATTAACATAATTTCAATTTGTAATGTGTGGGTGTGTTTTTTTGTGTGTTTGTGGGCGTGTGTGTGTTTAGTTTTACTATAGTTATCACATCATATATAGATAAATTTCTTAAATTTTTGTTTAACAAAACAGCGTTAAAAATAAACATTAAACAAACATTAAGTGGGGGCAGTATTTGATGTAGCATTATTAATAATGTAAATTTAATTACTAAACATTTCATGTTAAGAAGTAGAACAAATAAATATTATGAATATGTGTGTATATAATATATAACTATATATTAAGAATTATGCATTAATTCTTTAGGCAATTAGACGTGTGTGTTTGTTTATGTGATTTGTTTTTGCTTGTTTGCATATGTTCGTGTTTGTGTGTGTGCGCACCAATATCTGGGATTTGGCAATCAATATACAACAACAAATTACAAAAACTATCAGAAATCGTGGGAGAATTTTCAATCATATTTACACCGTAATAAGAGTCAGCGAATATTAATATTAGCTCACGCATGTTTATATAAGTAGGTAGATTATATAGACTGGATAACAAATTCGGCCACATGCATATAATACATCAGATCAGATCGGATTCGATCCATTGGCAATCGCTCAGTTCGAGACTCATTCGCACACACTCCCAGGATGGTTATAAATAATTTAACATTAGTTTAGTATCCATAATCAGTGAATTAGTTTAGTTTAGATTAGATAAGTTTAAAACTGATTCGCTAAGATTAGGGCTGCCGTAATGCATGTCTTCAAGGTCAACTAACATCGATCAAACGCACCGATTTGCACATCATTGATATATCTATATGCAGAGAAAATCCCATTGAATATTGTTTTATAGATAAGATCGGTTAGGTCCAGTAATGCTATCATTCTATTTTACAATTCTCGTTATTTATGCGTAACTCATGACATCCATTAGATCGTAATTAAATATACATTTATATAAAACAGTAAAATGGTTAGCAGCATAGAAATCTCTCGTTTTAAATGTCTTCAATGTTCGGTGTTTGCTCCTAACTTTCAATTTTTTGTAGAGTATCAGAGTGGTTTCCGGGTGGGTGGGTTAGTGTGGGGGTGTGTGGCTGTGGGTGTGCACATATTAGTGTTAAATGCAACAACGAACAGGTGCAAAAAGAGAGAGTGCAGCCAAGGAAGTTGGCACTACCACCAAGAGATTTTGGCACAAATGTCTGACAGGTCCAACGATTTTAATTTGTAAAATTTGTAATTCCATATATGAGTAGTTCTTTAAATACAATTAGGTTACGTTTAGTTCAAGCTTTTTGTTTTTGTTTTTGTTGTAAATATTTGAGTGCTGCTAATTAAAACTTTTTTTTTCCATTTCGCCCTAAATTCCACCCTCTTCTTAGCTTTCTTAGAAACCCTTTTGCTTGCCCCACGAACAAGACTTTTACAATTAAAACTCCATTACAAATAAATCTCTTACTATACTGTATATAAGTGTGTGTGTGTGACTGCAACATCCGTATCTAGTTGAAACCATGACAATGTGTCGCTGCCTGCACAGATCAGCATTAGATTCCTTCTCGCAGCCGGCGATTTATCCTCTCCTCTCCATATTTCGCCTACATAATTGACAAAAAAATTTGGCTTACCCTTAAATCGTTTCAACATTTAAGATCTTATACGCGTTTCTCATCTAAATTAACTTTGCTTTGAGTATCAATTGGTTGCTGTTGCTGATGATGTGTTTGCGAATGTGGTTGCTGCAGTTACTCCTGTTGCTGCTCCTGCTGCTGATGCGGCCTTTTGTTGCAGTTCCTAGTGCTGTTGTTAGCATAACTATTGTTATCATTAATATTACTATTAGTAGTAGTTGTAGTAGCTTCCTTTTGATTGGCATTCGTGGGCTCGCCGCTGCTGCTGATGCTGCTGTTAATGTTATTGATATTGGTATTGGTATTGGTGTTGCTATTGCACAAAGTTTCTTGGGGATCGTAGGGCGCCAGCTGCTTCAGCTGTTCCATATACCGCTCGAAGTTCAGCCTCATCTGCTGCTCCTCCAGCTCCAGCTCATTGTCGCTCTCATCGATGATGATCGTCTGGGCAGGTTGATGTTGCTCCTGCTGACGCCGTTGCTGCTGTTGTCTCGCATTGCCGTTGCTTAGGCTAGTGCTGAGCGACTGTGGCTGCTGCTGCTGCTGATGCTGGTGGTAGTAGTCGCGGGCATAAAAGTTAAAGGGCTGAGCCTTGCGATGTTGCTGCTTGGGGTTGGAGTCATCGGGGCGCCAGGCACCATAGTTCCATCCCAGATACTGACTGTATCATTCACTTGTGGCATTGTGTTGCTGCTGCTGGTGGTGTTGCGGCTGCAGCTGCAACATGTGTTGCTGGGCGAGGGCATGGAGTTGCTGCTGGGACTGCTGCTGCTGTTGCTGCTGCGACTGTTGCTGCGACTGCTGGTGTTGCTGCTGCTGTTGCTGTTGCTGGTGTTGATGTTGCTGCTGCTGCTGCTGTTGTTGGTGTTGCGCTGCATTAAAGGCCGCCGCGGCTGCCGCTGCCATTGCCGCTTGGGAGGCAACCGCTAGCTGGCTGGCCGTGGGCGTGGCCGCCGCCCCCACCGCCGACGAGGACATTAGGTTGTCGAACTTGCGCGTATCCGGATTGTACATGGGATGTTTGAACTTGCAGTGGGTGCGCAGGTTGTCGCTGCGAGTGTAGGTGGCCCTGCACAGCGGACACTCGAAGCGGCCCGGGAAGTGGACGTGGTAGTGGTTGCGGATGTGGGTGACGACCTTGCCGCACAGCTTGCAACGGTGCAGGTTGCAGCCGCCCGAGAGGCGCTCGAAAGTTAGCCGCATGTGCCAGGCCTTGGAGCCTGCGCAATTAATTGTAATTTATTTATTCGATTGATTGCATTTTCATACGTTTTTTTGTGGTTTTTTTTTAGCATGGGTATTTCGGTTTCGTTTTCGGTTTTTATTAATTGGTTCGTTCAAACGCGCAAAGAAAAAAAGAAGAGAAAAACAATGTTGTTGTTGGTGATTCACAGAAACAGAAAAATCATTTTTATAATAATTCTTAAACTGTATAATTAGATGGTTCTCAGAGTCAGCGTGTGTGTGTGTGTTTGGTGTGTGTTTATGGTAGTAGATTCGTAATTTCGGCTTTGTTCTTTTGCCATGGAAAGAATGATTAAAACTGAAACGAATGATTGTTAAATCAATTTTGTTCATATTCCTGAGACATTGTGTTATGTGGGCAGAGACACTCTTCACGTGGAGGGTTTGGATTATATATATATATCTTGAATTTTTCGCAAACAAATTTTGTTACACCCAAAAAATCGACAAATAAATACAGTTAAGAATTGATTTTTCTTTTGCTTTTTCCATGGGTTTTCGAGAAATTGGGAAATGTAGAACAGTACTTGAATTGGGGAGGGAGAGGAACATTATTGCTATGTCAAAAATGATGATTCAAAACAATTGATTCTTGGCAATGGATTCACTTAAAATATTCGAATTATTTACAATAATCGGTGGGGTGACGGAATTGGATACTGAGGAACCCAAACCAAATTATATGTATGTATGTGCAAATGATTTGTGTTTGGACACTTAATTAAAATCTAATAGCAATAGTAATTTTTGATGAATGTTGGTTCCGATTGAGTTTCGTTTTCTTTTCAGCTTCTTTGTTAATTTCTTTGTCAAAAGAGCCCAAGAACCGTATTAGTGTCTAATTTTTGTCACTGTTTTCGAAGGAGGGTTTTGCGGAGCGGTTGGTGTTTATTGTTTGGTGAATGTACATAAGTTGGGGAGAGACAGAGAATGAGCGTGAGAGGGACGGGGTCAGTTTGGGGCCAAAAAAACGCAGATGAGGTTAAAAAATGAGTCAAAACAAGTAAATTATATGACTGATTTAGTATGAAGACTAAACGAAATAACTGTAGCGCAGCAACGTCGATAAGAAAAGGCATATCGTATATTGTATATCGAACATCGAATGTCGTTTATCGTTTATCGAACACATTTCATTCAACACCCCTCCTGCCTGGCAGATCAAAAACAATTTAGATCCTCGACCAAAACTAGACGAGAAACTCTGCATACAATATGTATTGAGCGAGAACAAGACAGAGTGAGACAGACTGAGTTTTAGAGGGAGAGAGAAGTAGAGCTTTAAAGTAGGATAGAAAGATTGAGTGAGTGAGTGAGTAGAGGCAAGTGTTTTGTTTAAAAAGTTTAATAAACTAAAACAAATTTTCAATCGTTTGGCCAATTCCTGTTTTTTTTTTGTTTTCTTTAGTTTTGTTCGAATTTGTAGCTTTTCTTTTTAAATTTAAATCATAATACATAAATCATATATATATTTATAGTTAACTTAGGTAACATAACACTAAATTATACAGGAGAAGAATTTGTGCTTAATAAGATCTTAGAAATTGCAACTTACCGTTAAGAGAGTGCGCTTGATGTTTAAATTTTGATTTATATTTTTCGATTTAAAATATTTTAATATTTTTTTTTTATTTTTAGTTGTGTTAAATGGCTTTTAGTACCTAGGGGACGTTTGTTTGTTTTTATTATATGAAAAGAACTGGAATTTGATTTGAAAGAGATTTATTAAGTAAAGTTAAAGATGTTAAATATTGATTTATCCGTTTCACATATATGTTTTTGTATATATCCATATTTAATGTTAATTAATTGGATTTATTGGTTGATTGGTATCTATAGCTAATGTTTAAGTACATTTTTTGATAAAATCTGATTTAAATTTGTTCTTTAGCAAGCGCTGGATCGTAGAAGGTTAATTAATAACTTATTCGATTTGCAAGCAACTCCAATCAACTTCGGTGGGTGTTTTGCCAAAGATATAAATCAGTAGAGCGTCCAGTTTCAAGAACTTGATGTTTTTTCTGGGGGCTCTGGCCAAACAGTTTGAAATTGGACGCTGTCTGAATTTTTACAAAACGAATTCGATCAGAAGTAAGACAAAATTAAATAGTATTACAGAGCGTAATAGACAGAATTTTTAAAAAATATTTCAGTGCGACATATTTTGTTTGTTTTTCGCTTAAGTCTCGATATTGCATGCCTTGCTCGTTGCTTTTTGCCTTTTGCAATTTTCTATATCTTTATGCATTTATTTAATTATCTTTTTGCGACCTTAGGGCCTATGGACTAGAAGAAAGATTAGCTAATATGGCACAAAATGACACGAACAAAAATTAGTCAACATTCACTACAGCACATGTTAATTAAGTAAATAAAATAATAATAACTAACGCGGAAATCGATTGGAATTCTACATATAATACTTGTCAAAGTTTCCCTCCACTGAGTACTGATCGCGGTATTTCTATATCGATATAATAATCCATTTGGTTTGCTAGTGACCTACCAAAAAGCATCTAGAGGTTCAGACGATTTAACAATAAATGGTGTAAAGGTCTTGAAATTAACTACGAGTAGCATAGGTATATTAAGGTTTATAAATAGATATAGATGTACACCCAACTGATGGCTGTTGGCTCCTCACTCTAGATTACGTATACGTTTACTTGATTCTTGGTTACTTAAAACACGTTAGTTGTGAAAACCTTTGCATTCTGTTACTGATTACTTTTGATTTGATTTGTTTTGCCTGCCTAGAGAAGTGATCACATATGTACATAGTGGCTAAAGAACCGATCCTTGATGTCCGCATGCTTGATCTTACAGTGGGCCTTCATGTTATCCCGTCGCGTGAATTTCTGTCCGCAGACAGGACACTCATGGCTCTGGGGTCGATGGATGTTGGCGTGGTGCCAGCGATTCGACACGATCTTGTTGCAGCTCACACATCTGTATAGGGTGGGCAAAGTGCCCGATAACTGGACAAACAGGGTGGAGTAGTCGATGTTATGATCCCGCCGATTGGCCGCCGCCGCTGCTGCAGCAGCCACTGCCGCAGCCGATGAAGTGGATCCACTGGAACTCGAGCTGGGCTGCGGGGAGATCGCCGAATTGGCCACCGAAGCCGGTGCGGATATGGCCGATCCCGATCCGGATATTGAAACCGATCCAGATCCCGATCCTGATCCCAATCCCAATCCCGAGGCAGCGGGATAGTGCGGCGAACTTTGCGAGTGACTGGGTGGTGCTGGTGCCGGGGGCAAAGGCGGTGGATGATGGTGATTGTGGTGCGGTCCGTGGCCATGATAGCTGGCCAAGTCCAACTGTTGCACCGCTCCATTGCTGGTGAGGTAGGCCTGACTATTGGCCACGGGTGGTGAATAGGCCGCCTCGGCGGGGCAGTCCATCAGGGATCGGTGGTGCGGGTGGTGCGGCGGGTAATGGGACAGCAGGTGCTGCTGACGACTGCAGCGGATGGCGCGCATGTTGAGCTCCTTGCACTTATACTCGCAGTTGTAGCCACCGTCCACATAGATTTCCGACCCCGAACGGGAGGCTGCCTCCTCGTCGGGATGCGGAGGGGCATAGACCACCGCCCTTCTGTACTTGGGGGGCGTTCCATGGTAGGCCGACTCCTCAATGTCTGCCGGCTCATGATCCTCCTCCACATCCATGTCACGATCGCGATCCACAACGACCTCCTCGATAACGCCGTGATCAGGCTCACGATTTCGATCCTGTTCCCGATCCGGATGAGGTTCGTGCTTACTGTTAAAACACTTGACGCGACCTGCAAACATTTGCTTGGTTCATATTAGGCGTCATCACTGTGGGGGTGGGAACTGAAGGGGTGGATATAGAGATGAAGAGGCAGGGGATTCGGATTCGATCGCGCTTCTCTTGCATTCCATGCGCACAGTGGGCTTAATGCCAATGCTTTTCGGATGTGTACGGTGGGTGTGGATAGTGTCTAATTTGAACTAAGTAGCCACAAAAGGCGAAAGGCAAAAAAACTAGGGTGTGTGTAAAATATTGTTGGTGTGCCTATTAATAAATACCAAATAGGGTGTACCAATATCGCTCTAGGACGACTCCTCAGAAAATTTCGAACAATCTAACTATTAATAAATATTGGTTCTTACTGATTTTGATTAACTTCAAACCAAAATTTTAGAAAAATTTTCAATTTTTTTATCTAAAATGATGAATTTTATCTGGTTACGTTTCGAAGTTAAATATAACCTTATACATATTTATATATATATATCGTAATTCAATTTTAATTGTTGTGTTTTTTAATAAAGGCTCAGTTTCCAAATTTTCAGTTTCTCGTGTAAAATTTTTACTCTACATTCTTCTAAAACTTTGATCATTTTTTTTCAGATCGGCTCAACCTAGTTCTGGCTTAATTAATAGGCTATTTTTTGTGTTTGTGTTTTTGGGAGAAATGCAAGAAAAATGGAGGAAAAGACAGCTACGAGACTGGGTTTAAATGGTTTTGGAACATTTCCATTTTGTTTCGATTTCGGAACAAACTTTGTGTTTGAATGCGTGTGGTGGCCAAAAGATTATAAACGTAAGGCTAAAAACACAAGTCAAGTGATCGGTAAGGATGTTTGGGCTAGGAATCGAGGCTATGGGAATAACGAAGCCTGGAAATTATAATATACAGATCGATCGAAGGTGGAAGGGGTGGGTGAAAACAAGTCAAATCAAGAGTCTTAATCATACAGTTGGCGGAGTCTGTGGAAAAAACAAAACAAATCAAATCAAGGCTGGACTTAAAGCTAAGGCGGCATCGTTTCGGATCGGCAGGATTTTATAGCTCTAAGAAAACAATTCAGCTAAATTAAGTATACTTTGCATCAAAGCAAACCAATCAATCAACAGTGTGAACAGTGTGAAACGGATTGGGAAAAATAATAAGTTAAACAAAATCAATGTAAACAACTTTGGTTTCGTGTCATTTCGTGGCATCGACAATTTTGGTTGGGCTTATATCTTATAGTCTTGTATATTTGATTCTTTATAATACAGTTCTCATACACAATATTTGTTTTTTGTCTGTTTTGTTTTTTGGGATAACTTTCGTTTTAGTACTTCAATGTTGCAACAGATTTTTAGCTACAGTTTAGCTTGGTGTTTATAAGTAATATATATGTATATATTTAGTTTTTTGTTTTATATTATTACACTCTTTTTGTTATATTAGCAAATTCCAGTTCTTTTTCTTTTTTGAGATTTGTTGGTTTCGATGGTGGTGAGGGGTTTTTGGGCGCTGGGTGCGGGTTTTTTTTTAGCTGTAAGGTAACTTCAAATTCGTTTTAATTTCATTCAAAATTTCAAAAATTTCAAAATTTCTGTGATAAGTTTTTCAAATGTTTCTTTATTTTGTGCGCAATTTGGAGCCAATGTGCGAGATTTGTCACTCTCCTTTACACTTTACCGTTATTTTTGCAGCTGCTCTCTTTTAAGGATATGTGCAACAAACACAGACACAAGCATACACACACACACACAGACAGTTAAGTACAGAGAGAGAGCGACAGAGAGAGATAGAGATAGAAAGAGAGTAGGCAAAAGAAAGATAGTTGGAATACATTTAGTTAGCTTGGCAGAAAACCAGTTGAAAAAACACAGACAATCAGTTACAGTTATCTCGATTAAAACAGTGTGACAAAATATGGTTCAACGGATATTTTTCACATTAAATCATAAATGCAGCAATGTTAGTAGAAATATCCAAAAGAGGGAAAAGTACAGTCTGTATCTGTGTATGGGCGAGTGTGCTTGTGTGTGTGTGTTTGTGTGTGTGTGTGTGGGTGGGCTTGTATTTAAGTGTGTGTGGAAATAACGGAAATAAGAACACATCGATTTTGGAAGCTGTTTTTTTTATTTTTCTTATTCACACTGAGAAGTTTTTATTATTTTTTTTATTTGCTTGCTTTTTGGTTTCTTTTCCATTTCTTAGACAATAAGTTGCAACATTAAAGACGAAAAGAGATTTGGAAAAAATTTAGAGGGTTTTCATGGTTACTTTTATTGAAATTGAATTAATTTTTTGTAGCAGAGTTTTATAAATAAAGCATGGACAAAATAAAGAATAAGTAAATAACGAAATTAGGGTAACTTGGGAACAAAAAATTAATCAGAAAGCGCTTGGAAAATAACTTCAGTGTATCAAATGATATTAAATTAAATTTGAAATTTGTTATATGTTTTTATTGTATGATTATTTTTGTTTTTTAAATTTTTTATAAGTGTTTGGTTTATGATGTTGTATTCGCCAGTTGTGCTAATTTTTTTATTTTTATTTTTTTTTGGTTTTTGTATGACAACGAAGTTTTTGTTTTAAAAACTAATTGAATTTCTTTTGGGAATTTTCGAACTGACTTAGGACTAGTTGTGGCATCATGAAGGTAATATCAACTGATAAGTTTTAAATAATAGATATAAAATTAAAGTAATCGATACGTCAATGAAAATCGAATATGTGTATGTGATGGCGTGTGAGTGTATCAAAGTGTTTATGTGTGTGTGTCTATGTCTATGTATAGGCGTCATAAAACATGCAACATGCGGCAAACATACGGCAAAAAAAAACTAAACCGCAATCGATATCACGATCTAGTCCCAGCTTTAATGGGAAACTCGTCCTAAAAGTTAGATCTAAGTATACATATATATAACAATATAGAATACCATAAGATACGAAAAACAACGAAATAATAAAGATATGCATGTAGAGAGATATTTTGGTAGGAGAGGTGTTGATCTGTTGCTCTAACTAGCACTTTGGGTCTTACTTCTCTTAGGATCTATCATTCGGAATATATCGATAAATACATAGGACAAATTAAGGTACTGTACTTACAAAAGCATACAAAATACGGGGTTTTAAAAGGGTATACTTGTCTCAGGGGTTGGAAAAATGAGGAAAATGCATGCAGGAACATTCAGAAAATAAACATATAAACTGGAGCTTGGAGTTTAGATCAGTTTAGTTGTAGGAATTTATCGTACCCTTCTCCAATTTATATACATATTTACTGAGGAAATTGGGATTTATCCAGGGGTTTACACAACTTAACTATAGATTAAAGTAATTTGCTCAATTGGGTTAGATTTTAATTACGGGTCAGGGGCAGGAAAGTAACAGAAGTAAAGCTACAAGTTTTCTAAAATATTCTTTACAGTTTCTCAAAATATGTTGTTGGTAGGGTTTTCTCGCTTTTCTTGAACGCATGGTGGAAACAAAGTTGGTTAAACGAAAAAAATGTATATCAACCAAAAGCTAATAACAAATTACATACGCAATATATAGATACATAAGGTAAGATATACTTTCGGTTTTCGAGTGCGTTAGGTATTCAAAAGCTCAGAGAGAAGAAGATTCTTTTGTGTGTGGTTTACTTGTAGTAGTTGTAGTTTTAGTGGTGCTAGCTCGGTTCTGGCTAAGGCTAAATGGCTAAATGGCAATGCTCAGCGGTCAACTACTCACCGTCTATATTGTCCGTCTGATCCAGCTGCAGCTGTTTGGCATCGTTGTGCTCGTCCCGCGCATCTGCTGCTTGCAAAGCATGCTGCGTCAGCAAGGTGGACATGTCCTCCGCGTGCAGCTTCAGAGCAGCGCTCTTGGGTTGCAACAAGAAATCGGGAGAGAGGGTAAAGGGGATATAGTAAATCCAGCCAAAATGTGGGACTACAAATCTCAATTTCGCTTTGGAGTCCCCTACAACTTTAAAAATGTATAAAACAACCTTAAGCTATGTTCACTTTAGTTTGGCTTCTAACTTAAAGAACAGTGTTATATATTTTGTTTACTAATTTTTTTGTCAATGTTGCAATCAAAAATTCTATGTTAAAGTTTATTGTTTATTATTTTATTTTTAAACTTTGTGTAATAGGCAATACTAACTAGTTCAACTAACACAAGACAATATGAATTGTTGGCCTGTAACCCTTTTCCGTTCTAATAAAAACAAAATATAATAATTTTTTATCAAGCGGTGTAAGGAGTTTTACTTTCTTTGAAACATTTAAAGTTTTAAGGAACACTTTAGCCTTTTTGTGGTTCTTTATGCTGCCAAGCTTCTTAATATAATTATTATTTTATTTTGTTCATTTTATTGTTACATTTTTGCCATTGCAAAAGCCAGCCCAAGCTTGAATTTTTTGTTCACAGCTGCTGCTGATTCTTAGTTTCTAAACATATTTTATTTGTCGTACATTTATTTGATTAACAGAGTTTAATGCTAAGGCCTAAGGCTAATCCTGAGCGGTGTGTGGGGTCCTTTTCGAGGACCTGTCTCTCTATGAGCTTTCCTTTCCCACATTTATGGTGATGATGTCGGGGGAAGGTCGCTTGGCGGTGCCACCTGCACTTCCACTGGGCGTCGGATGTTGCTGCTGCTCCTGGAGCTCCCGTTCGTAGCACAGGCGATGCGACTTGCATTTGTTATGGTGATTGACGATCTCCAAGCGGAAATTGGAGTTCCCTTCCACAAAGGAGGTGCGGATGTCGGCCAGCTCACCGCTCCATTTGCGGCAGTGCCTGCAGAACATGGTATTGGCCCGCTCATCGTATTGCAGCCACTCGAACTGGTATAGCCAATTGGCCCGAAAACGACCACTTTTCCGGGAACTACCACCGCCAGATCCCGGTGTTGCTGCTGGGCTCAGAGATTTCCCCAGTGGCTGGTGTTGCTGCTGTTGTTGCTGCTGCTGCTCCTGATGTTGCTGCTGGGCCAGCAATCTCTGCATGGCCGAGTCCAGGCCCTCGTTCTGGTAATGAAGTTGCAAACTCTTCAGCTGGGCCTCCACAGCCTGGTGCAAGAGCATTTGGTGCATGGACTTGTTGCCAGTGCTACCTAAAAACGCCTCTGATTTTTTCACCTATACACACAGGATTGAGAAAATTGTGTTGGCAAAACATGGATCTGATAGAAGGAAGGATTTTCTGGTCTTTACTTTACTTTTACTTTTACATTTACATTTGCTTGAGGCGCAGCATTGTTGAGATTTTTTCTTTTTCTTTGGCCGATATTCCGTTTCGAATTTGGAAAATTCAATTTAAACGCAATTCACCAATCCTTCGTTCTGCTCCCATTTTGCTAGATTTGCTTTAGATTTACTTATATTTTAAGAGAATACATTTTTAGGGCAGCTTGAGCTAGCTTGGCTTTGACCTATTTTTGGGAAGCATTTTGCAATTGGCTAGCTTAGAGGTATAAAAATGATTTAACAAAAAGGCTTTTAAAAAAGTGTTTTGTACAGTAGTTGGAACCATCGAACCGGTTCAAAAAAAGAAAAAACCTTAACAAACTAAACGATGCAGCAACAAAATTATAATCGAAATTCAATTAAAATGGAGAAGTACTCTAGATTAAATCGACTGTTCTGATCTGAATTAATCTGACCGACTGGCAGACTGGACTTACCGGCAAGTAATCCGGCGGCAGGCCAACGTGATGCTCGCGATGCTGCTGCTGCTGTTGGGCGTCCATCAGCTCCTGCTTGATGCTCAAGGACTGGCTCAGGCCGCTCAGGGCACTGGCCGCGCCCACATTGCCACCACCGCCGCCCAGGTGTACGCTGGTGGTCATCGAGAGCGGCGAGTCGTGGCGGCCGCCGGCGTCCTCCGACTCCGAGGTGCTGCCGCCCGTCTTGGGCACGGGACTCGACTTAAAGTTGGCCTGAAAAAAAAGAAACACTGAGTCAGCAAAAGCAGATACAACTAATCCAAATTAAAACACTTTGACAGCACTCATTATTTATTAATTTCATTGAGTTTTAGTCAAGTAGTGATTTTGCAATCAATGTTCGCTGGGAATTGAATGTTAAGAACTTGATGTAGTACCTATAGTAGTTGTGACACCTTAAAATAAATATTATTTTCAAACACGTGTCTAAAAACAATATTTGTTTAAATTTATATGGCCTTATCTATATGGAAATATTTTTTAATTTTAATAAATAATTATTTTATACATCTATTGGAATTAAATAAATTAAAATGCATAATCATCCGTCTTTTTTTAAATAAATAATCAAATAATTTGCATAAATCTCAAAAAACCCTTGTTAGTGTATAGAAAGCGACACCTTTATAGCTCGTGAAAATAAACAGAGAAATAGAGTGAGCAAAAGAAAGGGAGAGCGGCACGTGCCTTGCCAAAAAAAACTTTACGCTCCCTGATAACAGCCAGAAATAGCAAAAATAGCTGCCAAAACACCAGCGCAGCACTATTTGATCGCAGATCAGTGGCCACAGCTGATACCGCAGTCATGTGAGCGAGTCGAGCGTGTGCCCATCATGGTATCGCAAATGCCAAACATAAATGTTGATATTGTTTGTTTGTTTGCCTTTTGCTGCCACCACCCGCCGACCGATAAGCGAAAAGTTTGGCAAGCTTATGGTAATACGGCTCGAAGGCCAACCGAGGGGATGGCGGAATGCCTAATATAGACACGTATATATGAAAGACTTCAAACCTTAACCTTACTGGATTTTTTTCCGGTTTTCTATTCTATTGAGCTAAGGCTCATAAAGTAACTATTATTTATCACTGAATCGAATGTTAAGTGTTTTATTGCAAAAAAGGGTTTACAAAACAAGAAATATTAACACAACAAAAGGACCCTCTCATTAAAAACGATAACTCAATTTACGACCAATAAATTATTTACAATGTACAAATGGGTGGCGAAAGATATGTACGTATATCTTATTTAATCGAGCCATTCAACCGAATATAATATAAAACTAATTATAATTTTATTTTAAAATGGTTTTTGTGTGCACAAAATTTAGCTGCAGATACATAAAATTAATAAATTATTATTGAATTATTATTAAAAAAAAGCTACTTATATTCTACAAATACATTACAAATAAGACTTTAATAAAAGTAACGTACTACTATAATAATTTAATTATGCTGTAACTAATAAACAATTGTCGCCTGTTTGGATGTGAGATAATTTCTAATTAATTTTAATTGTCAGGCAATTAAGGCACAAACCACAAAAAAAAAATGATTTAAATATCAAATGCGGAATTGCTGACTGACTGACGAAGCTGGCAAATTGTTTAGGTATGTTTGTGGGAAACATAAAAACAAACAGAGGTAATTTAATTTCGAGGGCTATGAGCTGACCAATTAAACAATTAAATATACACGGAAGGCTTTGGGGACCTAATGCATTGAAAAAAAGATGCCTTTGCTAAAATTATATTTAAATGTTCTTGTGTTTGAATGTTCCAAGTTTTGATTAAATGTTGGCACAATAATCAAAAGGGAATACATTTTCTTTTATTTAAAACAGCGAACTCTAATGTATTTATTAAAAAAAAAACAGTTGATTACCAGAAAGTCTTTATATTCTAGATCTTTATTCTGACCACCACAGTGCGTATACTTAATAATAAGAACAATATATGTTAAGTATACGCATTACATTTTCCCTCCGTACTTTCAGGAAGTAACGAAAAAGCTTAGTGATTTTAGAGCATATCAAATCAATAGCAAATACATGAGATAGGCATCGATCGCTCACCTGAGAGTCCTGCGGGTAGTGCCTGTCCTGGTGGCTCGAGGACAGCGAGTTATCACAGTTGGATGATGAGTTCTTACGTCTGCGCTTACTACTACTCAGCTGCTCCACCGGCGTGGTGGACAGCTCCCTGTCCCTGTCTCGCTCACGTTCTCTTTCCCGCTCACGCTCTCTGCTGTTGTTTCGCTCCCTATTGTTGTTGTTGTTGTTGCTGCTGCTATTATTATTGTTGTTGTTGTTATTATTATTGTTGTTGCCGGTACTGCTGCTGTTGCTATTGTTATTATCCTTGTTGCTATAATCCAATTGCAACAGATCATCGCGACTGTCGGTCCGTTCGAGCGTACCGCGCTCGCTACCGCGATCGCTGCAACCGTCTGCGCTGGCACTTCGATTGGCGGCCGCTGCAACCGCCGCAGCAACCGCCGCGGCGGCCGCCGCCGCACTGGCGCTGCCGACGCTCGGAGATCGTTCGCCGCCGCTGGGCGTGGTCAGCCCTAGGGCGACGGCGGCCGCATTGACATTACCGCCGGCGGCCGCTACCGCTGCTGCCGCTGCCGCCGCTGCCGCCGAGCTGCGCTCGCTCATGCTGCTGCTGCTGCGCTGCGTCAGCTCGTCGCGCAGATCCCGTTCGCAGCGGGAGCGCAGGGAGTCGCGGGATTCGCGCATCGCATCGGCCACGCCCCCAGCGCCGCCGGCATAATTACTCGGCCCACGGCCGGTCGGCGAACTGGCCGCGGAATCGCGCAGCTTGTCGCAGTCGGAGCGGTAATTAAGATTGTTGTTATCTGTGAGACCACGCACCTGCAAAAGTACCAAAAAAATTAAATTTTATTAGAATTTCATATCAACTAAGCTTTGCGTTGCCCTGGTATTCCCAAAATTCTAACTTGAAATAAACACAACAGAAATGCAAAGTACAAATTTCCCCTTAAACGTCAGTAACAGTATAGAGCTTCCTGGTTGATAATGCACTGCTCTTACTTTAACTTTAGTTTATATTCTGTTTTTCAGTTTAAAAATATAATGATCTCAAAAATTCGGAAATTGTACAATTGCACATATATTTTATATATATATATTATATATATATATATTTTTTATATATCGCTTACGTAAGAAAGGCATGCAATTTATATAATATGTATTATAAAAACATCACACAATATCTTATAAATTAATGGTTCGAAACATGTTGCCTTAAACAAATTGTGTTTTTTTAATAATTTTTGAGTAAACAAAAAATAAATGTTCCCTCTTCTTGAACTATTTTAAGTAAAGTCTAAATATAATTCCCAGATCAACACATACCTGCAGGCTCTCGGCCGTTTTGAGAAACATCGGCAGCGAACTCTGACCGACGTTGACCTCGCCCTTGTACATGAAGTCGAGCAGAGAGCGCATCTCTGAGTATCTGACATCTTTCAAGTAGATGATGGGATGTGGATGCTGGTTCTGTAGGAAAATCGTCTCGAAGTACGGACTGCAGGCTGACAAAATGGTTTGGTGAGCCTGTAAAGGGAATGCAAAAAGGTAAAATGTTAAATTTCTATAATAAATATTCGAAAGACGCACCTTGACTGTTTCGCCCTCGCAGGCGAGCGTGACATCGCATAGTGCCTCCCGCTGAAGCAGCGAGGTGAGCACGCCGGTCAGATTTGAGGGATGATTGTTCCAGCGCAAGCAGAATTGCTGGTCCATCGCTCCTTGGTCAGTGTTGTACCTGTAATGCATGAAATGATTGCATAAGTATGTGACAAAATATTAAAACATCAAAAAATCAGAAGCCTTTATATATGTAAGTCCCTTTGGCTATATTAGTTACTTAGATTAAGAATTGTAGTGCATTATTTCATTTACTTTACAAGTTCATTTTAATTAATTGTTTATTTTGTAATGAATTAAATTTTTAATTATTTATACGATTGTGGATTCATATCTGTAAATATTATGTAGGATTTGTATGATTTATTAAGAAATTCATAACTTTGTTTAATTAATAGTTTATTGCATGGATAATGCACTCGTATTTGTTAAATATCAAAGGTTATGCTTTCAAATAATAACAGATTACCTTTCGAAAAATTAAGGAAATACGTTCGATCCGAGGGTTAAAAAGTTAATCTGGATCAGCAACATCGTTCCTGTTTTTATTCAATATTTTAATCATTGCCGAAACGGAAACGAAAGCGGAAACGGAAGTAATTCATTTTTAGAGCCCGTCTCGTTATCGTTATCGCCGCACTTGCCCTAATTTGTGAGCGTGCGTAACGTTTGTACAAGAAATACCAATGGCAATTTGTCATTGAACACAATTGCTCATTACAATTGCCGAATGCTCGGGGCTGTTCTCAATTATTTATTGCATTTCCGGTGCCCGATAACAAACCGCACGATGTGTGTTATTGTGGTGCCAAACTCCAGAGTTGCATCTGTATTAGAGTGTTAATTGTCATTTTGCCATGTAGCCGCCATGTTTGGCTGCTGGCTAACTGTTAATTACTCGGCCAAACAGACGAGCAATTCATGCAAATTTGGTTGACAGACCGAGAGAAGGGACTGGTGGCATAATAGATGGTATTTGTGGCTTATCTACATATATATTATACAAAATTTATGGAGCCCTCATACCCACTTACAGAGCTGCCTAAGAATAGAAGTGATGTTGATATTTCTTTATTACAATTGCCTGGAATCCAGCCTAATCTTAACGGCCATTGGTCAAAGTTCTAGTGGGGTAACTGGGGGTAAAAAAAAAGGGGAACATTGAGAAATTTGATAAGAAGCACTTTTGCTTTCTTTTGCGACGCTGAATTTGTGTTAAACTCAATTTGAGTGAGATATTAAGGTACCCGGTAAGTGCTAAAAAATCGAATATTCGAAATATACAAATATTTAGACATTGAGTAAAAAGCCGCCTCTATCAGAATAGCAACATACAATAATAACTGATTTTTAGAATAGAATAAAGGCTAGTAGTATCAGATACCAAAATAATAGAATAGAATAAAGAAATAGTAGTATCAGATGCCAGATATACCCATTAGTTCTACGAATACCCAGTCAAAATGAGAGGGAAACTGAGAAAGAGAGTGAGCTTTAAGCTTTTGCCGGCGACGCTTATTGCTTAACAAAATAAATAAACAAAACGTCAAAGAACTTTTTCGCAAACTGAATTTTGACCGTGAGAAAGAGGCACCCAACAGCTACCAAGAGAGAGAGAGAGGAAAGAGGGGTAATGCGGCAAGAACGAGAGGGGAGAGTGGGGAAAACAGAGAGAGAAAGAGAGAGCGAGAGTGGGTGCGCGCGTGCGGGAGAGATTAGATCGGTTTGGAATATGTACGTAGGAATAGCAATAATAACAATTACAGCGTGTGCGCGTGTGGGGGCCGCTGTCGTAAGCATTTTTTATTGGCGATCTTTTTTCTCCCTCTCTCCATCGCCCACCACCCGCTCTTTCTTTGTTTGATTTGGCGTTCAAAAAAAAAAAGATATAAACTAACATCACATTAACAAATTGAACTTTCATTTTCATTGGCATATAACTTTTTGCATTCTTTTGCTATATTGTTTTTCTTTAAGGTTTCTATTATTCTACATACATATGTATTCTGTTGAAAGTTAGGACATTTCACAAAATAAAATCGAGTTGTGCATTCAGCTTTTGAAATTTACATTTTGTTGCATTTAACTTAAACTGAACTTAATATGTAAGGTTTGCGAAACAAGAATATAATTCCATTAGTAGTAATAATTGTTATGAATTTATGTATTTCCCTTAGTTATTGTTATAGTAAGCTGATAAGACATAATTTATGGATGAGGTATACAAAGGTAGTAAATAATTGTGCCCAAAATAACAAAGGGAAACCCAAAAGTTATCTATTTTAATTGTCACTCAAAGCAGAAAAAAACTGATTCATTGAAGTGAAATACGTAAGACCAGCAGTCTTTGTAAGGATAACGTATTTTTTTAACAAACTAGTATGAATGTTGTCAGATTTAATTATTATCATGCAATCATTTTAAATTTTATATTTTGAATTGTCACACTGATTCATAAAAACGAAAAGAAAGCTAGGTACATTTTGGTATTAAGCTAAACTAATTAATTGCAAAAACAATTTATGTCGGTAAAATCAAACAACTTTGGTTTGATTACAGATCGACTGTAAAAACTTGTATAATATAAAATTTTATTATTAAATATGTCAACAACATTTTTAAAAACGTGTTTAGCCCCCTAAAAAATCTAATTTTGCGGTAGTCACAAAGTATACTTTTGTTGGCCATAAATCATTTTGTAAATATAAAATCTCTCTTACGCAGCTGCCTATTAATAGTGACACTCTGGCTTTAATTTCTTTTTAATAACTTTACTCGCCATTTATTTACAAAGTCGTTGAAGTTACAAAAAAAAAAATAGAACGCAACGTAGCCAGCGCCGGCGCCAACGAAAAAAAAACTCAAGCCAAGCAATTTCGACGTATTGTGCTTTTTATAATTTTTATTTTTTCATTCAATTTCGTTTTCGTTGACGGGCAGCAGTGCAGTCGACGTCGACGCCGGCGTTGCATGCGATTGCAGTTTTTATTTACACTTGCGCTTTCAATGCAAATTTGCTATGAATGCAAACAAAGTTGTTGTCGGTCGCGTTTTTGTTGCCGCTTCTCCGATTGTTCTGTTTAATTAATGAGAACTTTTACTTTCGAACAACAGTAGCGTTGCGCTTACGTAAATTGTTTAAAAATATTTAAGCGCTTATCAGCGAGCGTTAGCGAGTAGGCGGCACCAGGGGCGGAGCGCAGGCGGTGTGATCAAATTGCGCAATGTTAAATGACGCTCAACATCAGCTAAAACGTGTTGCTGTAACGCTTAGCGAATCAATATCAACATGCAGATACAAGCCCAAGTTACAGATAAGCGGCATAAGAAAAAATTTAATGTGAAAAAAAACATTTTGTCACGCGTCAACTTAGATAATCAACGCTAACTGCCTGTCACACTGTAAGCAAATAAATTCGGATAAAGAAGCCGAAGCTATAGTACCCTTCTAATTTAGACGGATTGAGTCTGTGACAACTAAAATATATATTCGCCAAGGCTTTTATCTAATTGTATAATATCCCCTTAAATTAAAGAATGTTTGCAAAGGGGTTTATACCATTTATAAGTCAGCTTCAAAAGATAAATATGTTTATTCTTCGTAATTATTACTTCGAATAAAATCCGACATAAAAGAAAATCAGGATAAACCAAGTTGATCTGACGTTTCCAATTTTTTTTAAAACAGCTATTGGTTTTTACGAGCTGTTTTGGTTATAAGGTGTTATGTGACTTTGCAAAGGCAAAAGAGAACAACTTAAATTAAAGTTTGGTCCAGAGGAAGTTGTAGTTTAGTACTATATGGATTATTGCTGTGCCAATTATCATTTGATTAGGTACGTTTTCACTTCTTCACATAACAAAACCATTTTGTAAAAACTTAATGTGAAAATAACTGATATATATAGATATATATAGAGATATATTTTCAACTGCGTTGCAAGTACCTCACTAAAACGTAAATACCTTTAGTAGGGTATAAAAAAAGAAAAAAAGTAAAATATACTTATGGGACGCACGGGGCGTATCAGTAATGGCCTTCAACTTTCAGTTAGTGGCGCCTTATCGTGCGAGACGGCGACGCTGGCATCGCTGCCGACTGCTCTGCCCGCGCTCAACGCTCAGCTGTAAGCGAAATAGTTTTTTTTCAGCCTTTTCTGTTCAATTTACACGTTCTAAATAGTTTGCGCAAAGCCGAACGAGTGTGTGAGTATCCGTGAGATACGCGAGCAAACGCACACAACCACTTGAGTTGCGATAATAATTATAAATACAAAGTAGTTTGTTGATATTTGTTGTTGCCTGCCGCTGACGTTTGACGTTTGTTGATCTTCTCGTTTTTGTTGCTGCTAGTTTTCAATTTTCGCTTTGCTGTTTATCTTTTGCTTTAGAACTTTACATGTTGGCGTAGGTTGTTGTTGTGCGCGTTGTAAATTTACCGTTGCGAGTTCAATGAACGCGAAAAAAACCTGGCTAGAAATAATGAGCGCCCACATGGTCATTACACGGTTGTATCCGTATCTGTCGACGAAAGATAGCCCAAAAATGTAGACAATCAGCATTGTTGTTTTTTTGGCGCCAAAGGCCGTCGAAAAATATTTATAATAAGTTCGTAATTGGTTTTCTGAAATCCAAGGTTGGTTTTATATTGTTTTTGAATTTATTATTAGATACATATGTAGAGAAAATATTTCCTGTATAGTAAACTGAAATAGAACTCATTCGACAAAATATAACGAAAACATACTTTAGGGTTTAAAACGCTAGAAATTATGAATGTTACTGATACGTTTCTGTATCGCTTGCATTTTCTGCCCTTCGATAAAACAGAGCGGTCATAAATCAATGGAAATCGCAACAGAGGAGATGCGTTTGTTCAGATAACCAAAATGAATATTTCAAATTCACAAATGCTCACAGATACAAATACAGATGCCGGCGCACAGATACAGATAGCCACTTGCAGAAGGCAAACGAGATCAAGATTAGCGCGTTCGTGGTTCACCTTGACTCAATGGTCAAATGTGCAAAATGCCGCAAAGTAAACTTTGAGCAGCGGCAACAACAACAGCGGCTTTAATGAATCAGCCTGGCCAAAAGCGTTTGCCAAAGGTTTGG